GCAGGGGCTCAGTCTCTCCCAGTATTTTTAGTCTAGTTGTTTTCAAATATTGCATTGTTTGCTATTCAATGCCAAAATAACCTTTTGCTGCTAAAAGGCTGTTAAGGTCTAATGAAAAATACATGCTAATCTGTTTTTAAGAACAAGCATGAAATGTTATCAAAAAGTGTGATCTTAATAAATCTTAATCTTCTTTTAAGTGAAGAAGCAGCTTGGCTGAGCTGCGAAATGTAGTTGATCAAAAAAAAAACTTTTGTCCAGCTGACAGAATAGATTTTTTCCTGTGTGATGATCCGTTGAAAACTGATATTGCATATTTATATTGCATCTTGATAAAGTTATAGGTTTTATAAAAACTGTGCCAAAATCTTGATCTAAATAACATACTTAATTTTTATACTGTGTAATCCTTAACCCAGGGATCTATGGATGTTCCCTAGTATTGATATATTAATATTTTTGTACTTATGAGCATTTTTTATTGCCTGTTATACAATACAATTTGCTTTGTATTAGTGATTTAGTAGCCCTTTCACCCTTGTCTTTGTTTGCTGGAGCTCTTGATATCTTGCTTTACGGCTGTTGCTGTGAGCGGAGGTGGGCTTGTGGGGGTTAGGTGAGGTCAGGGGGGTACAAAGACTAAGCAGATTTACAAATGACCCCATAGCCCACCCCTCACTTCAAAGACCTGTGTAACTCCTCTATCACCTTCTCCGCATTCTCTATTGGCATATGCATTAACACAGTGTTGTCCAGTAATGATTATTCCACATTGCTAATGTGTGTACAGTAGCCCGTGGAGTCACTGGATTTAAGTGTTTCCAGATTTGTCCAGAGTGTTTTAGCGCAGTTTTCTCCATTCACACGATTTAACAAGATAATGCTGTTATGGCTTTTGGGCAGCAGTAATGAAGTTCTCATGCTGTGATGGCCCATTGTTTCTGCTGCTGCTAATAATAATGAATGAGTTTGTACCCAGTGCCCACACCTTTCAGCTCCTATATTTAGACCTGGCTAATTTATAAGTTACTGTGGCGCAAAATTAGAATAAATAATATAATCTCATTAACCACAAGTAACCTCAAGCCTGAGTCTTAAAACAAGAGATACAGCAACGAATCTTTTGCCACTTTTTTTTTTTTTTTTTGAAAGCGAAGAAACCAAGAAGTTAAATGGATGTTGTAGTAATTTGCAACAAGAAAATTTGAGACTTTTTGCCAAAATTTTATATGCAATTGGATTTTGAAGGGTCATTGTCATTCACACTGTTACATGCAAACATTAATTCTATTTTTTATGTCTTTCAGAAGCGAGTTACAACAGCAGTGAGCCACTGTCAGAAACCACTGAGATGGAGTATCTACGAAAAGTGTTATTTGAGTACATGATGGGACGGGAAACTAGAGTAAGTACTTTTTATCATTAACACATGCATGCAACAAAATGAATGAACAAATTACTACGACTATTAGTGAACTAGTTTTGAATGGAGGGGGGCTGATTCTCTTCAACCACACATCGTACAAGTCAGTTTAGGTAGCCCCATAAAGTCTACTTAGTCTGGGCAAAAATTAACAATGATCACGTTAATTAACAGTACTTTGACATGGTCCTAAAGCCAGCAGGATTTTCCCAAATGTTCAGCAAACACTGGGTCTTTATGGCTACACTGTAGACCTCCCCATGCAGAGTATGTCCCCGAGGCAGCCCACGAGCACAGATGTGCATGACGCAGATTTGCCTTTTCTCTTGTTTAGTGTTAGTGGAGCGGTTAGGCTTCCTTCACAGCAGACTGTTTCTGATTAAGGCAGCCTTTATAGGGGAGCGCTGCGCCCTCACAGTGGCCTGCACTTGATTATGCAAATAGTGCTCCTTGTGTCTTACTGGATTTTAATTATACATAAGCATCAATACTACCTGTATCACCCCTGGAGTGAATAGAAAGGATGTATTGTGTTATTTAATGCCTCATGCAAATTAGATTAAATTATTCTATTTTCCTTCTACAGACAATGGCCAAAGTTATAACTTCCATGCTGAAGTTTCCTCCAGATCAAGCTCAAAAAGTTTTGGAAAAAGAAGATGGTAAAGTTATGGTAAGCTATAGTTCAGTATTTACTCAGAAATAAAATTACAACTATAAGATAGTTAAATGCCAAAACAAATGTGGATGGCTTAACATGAATAACTTGCCTTTTGAGCAATTATAAAAGTGTTGTGTCCTTAGGCAAGACACTTCAGCCACATTGCCTAGTAAGAAAGTGGACTGTGTGTGAGTGGTGGTGGTCAGAGGGGTCGATGGCGATTGGCAGCCTAGCTTCTGTCAGTCTGCCCCAGGGCAGATGTGGCTACAATAGTAGCTTACCACCACTGAGTATCGATTGAAATAATGCTCTGAAACGCTTTGGGTGTTTTGAAAGGCGCTACAATACAATGATTAATTCATTAATAATTCAATAATACATCAGTGTTTAGTCATCCTTATCCTTTTACATTAATGCATTGCTTTAGAAGAAAATCTATGTATCAAAATAGTGCATTGATATTGTCACTTACATCAGTATTTTATTCATTCACACTTGGTGGAGGAACATTTGTAGCCACAGCTTATTTCTTCTTCTTATTTATTAGTTTGTAAAGGGACAGCACATATTAATGAACATCTACCTAACAGGGAAAAGTAGAGTAGAGTAAAGCAACAATCACGCACAAAAGTACATAAAACTAGCACACTCACTACACATACAACACACCCACTGTACATACAATTCATTTCAAACAGTTCATTTGAAATTCGAAGTCAAGAGTTAAAGAGTTAAACCAACAACCCCTCAATATAAAAAAATATAATTTGGTTAAACCTGGTGACATATTTGGCCAATGAACAACCACTGTTTTAAAGCTTTAGAAAATGCTGCCAGTGTTGAAAGTTCTCACATATGACCAGATACTGTATTCAATGTTTGACCTGCTCGATAAGCAAAAGAGAGCTGTCCAAAAGCACTTTTCTTAAATGGCACATAGCAGTCACCTCTAGAGCCTACTCTTGTGTGATTTGAATTTTTTTTCACAAGCTCCTTTAGAGGAGGTGGAGAAAGATTATTAAAAACTTTGTATACCAAAATTAAATCTGCATATTTGATCCTGTTATCCCAATTAATTAATTAACTATTAATCTAGCTGCCCTGGAACAGGATGATGGAGTCACGGCTGCCATGTATTCCCTGAGGCATCCCTGACCACATGCACACTGTGGTCCCTAACATACAGAAACAGTACACCTTGTACATAATGTAGCATAGTGTGTATGTGTAAGTGTATTTCAACAGGTGCAGCTACATCATTCCTATTTGTTAAGTTCTCATTTGTTTCTTTTCAGCCCTGGTTACGGTGATCCTCCTGATGGTATTTTTTCATGAACTGTGCTGCTGCTGCTTTTTGTGCTGCTGAAGGGGACGACTGCCAAGGATTTGATCAAGCCCTTCTCTGCATTATATTTGTGATAATGTGTGTGTTTGTTTGACTGTGTGCGGTTAGTGTCAGTCTGTCTGTTTGAATGAATGTTTGCGAGACTATGCTTATGGGTGCAAATAAGCTAAAACACTGTAAGGAGGGAATTTGAAAACATGCCAGAAATATAAATCTTCCATAAATCCAGTTTTACATTGAAATTGAGTTTGTTAATTTATATATTTTAGATGAAGTCCAATGGTTCTTGTTTTATTTAGTTAACTGTATAGAGATTGATCTGTGCAATAAATCACATCATTATTCCAGTGGATCGCGAGGGTCAGTTTGTTTTCAGTTTTGGCTTTGTCTGAAATGAGTTCCTTTGTAAATTTGTAATGACCCATTAACTGTGTATTTACAGCACATTTTATCTTTTCGGCCTCTGGACCTTGTTTTGACTGCTTTTCTATGCTTTATATTTTATAGACACTGACAGAAAATCCCAAACGCAAGATTTGTAAATTGTATTGACTATTATAACTACCATAAGGGATCTAAATGAATTGCCATTTTCAAATTAATTAAATAACAAGATTAAATATTTACAGAACTGCATTTGTCAGCTGTTTTCCTTTTATTATCTCAGTGCCGTCACTGTTAAACAAACGTCTTATCTTTCAGCTGAATTTACATTAGAGCTCCTCAACAGGGCCAACAGGGCGATAACCTGCAGAAATGCAGCCGGAATGCAGACACCACCACAAATTTAGCCCCATGACCTCTGACCTTTTGCCATAAACTGCAAGGACAGTCTTACAAAGTTACAGAACCATATACAAACTGTTACAGAAGCGGAAAATCACTTATTGATCTGTTTACACAAGAAATTCATTAACCAAACATGAATATTTATCACAAAATCTGTGTTTGTGAAATGACAACAGATTTCATTTCATCAAAGTTTTTTTTTAATATTTTTATGCAGTAAATTTCAGCAAACAAATTAAAACATGACAAACACGTAACTGCAAGCAATTTGTTAATTTATAACCATTATTGTCCATAATTGCTATCTATATCTTATCCCTGTCCAATTTCTTAAAGCTGGTGTCATATTAATTGTCTATTGTTCATTAAATAGCAGTTTAATGGGAAAAAAAATAAAATAATAATGTTTTGCCATGCTGCACATCGAGCCATGAAGAAAATTTGACGTCATTTAAAGTGAGTCTCTTTATATTAACGTTAGGTGGCAGCAGTGCGCACCCGTCTCTGTTTTGGTGAATTGCGCTCCTGCAGCCTACAACTGAAATGTGATGCTCGCGTCTCAATCCCATTCTTGTCTCCTTGTGATCAGCGTGCTGCCAATGCACAGGTCAAATTTATGAAATCCGACTGACGCTTTCAAAATAAAATCAACTTGAACTGTGTTACGTTTGACTTTACCTTCCTGTTTTTATTTTGGCGTTTAACTCTACTCGTTTCCTGTGTTTACCCCGCCTTCTCTGCGACAACTTTTCACATCTAACCACATTTATCTCCACGACAGGGAGCCTGAGAGCAACAACTTTCTGACACAGAATGGAGAGGAGCTGACGCACCGTTATTACAGGACCGTTAACTTTCCCTCATAAGGCTATACTCATGCCTTTGCAGCTTAAAAGTGGAACGACATCACAACTATTACTGAAACTTCATCTATTTTAAACAGTTTTACCACTTTAAGGAGCTCTTTTCTTCATTTTGTCTTTTTGGACACTTTGACCGCGCTATAACGCACGATGCGCAAAGGGATGGCTACACATCGGAAACTACGCAAAACGGGAATTCAACACGTTTTCTACGTCTGTCTCTCCTTTTCGGTGGCCTTTTCTTATAACATAGACCTAGAACATCCCTTGGTGTTCCGCGGACCTACTTCTAGTTTTTTTGGCTATTCTGTTTTGGAGCATTATCATGACAACACAAGATGGTAAGTCCTGTTTTTGGCAACGATGCTGGGACGCATTCAGTAAAATTACTTAAACTTTTAGATGTGCATGTTCATAGTAATTTAAAGCATTGCCCTGCTAGGAAACACTGAATTGTGCGCTGTTTTTGTTGGCATTTTCTACTGTCTCATGCAAAGTTTGGAGTGGAACATGTGAGTGAGTTCTTCCTCCCATCCCGCAGGGTAATAGTAGGGGCTCCGCGGGCGAACTCTACCTACAGTAGTTTTGTGCAATCTCCCGGAGCTGTGTACAAGTGTCGAGTTCACAGCAACCCCGAGCGCCGCTGCACAGAGATGGACATGGGTAGAGGTCAGTCCCCCTTTTACACCCATCCACACACGCAGACACACACACACACACACAGTGACTTCAGACGAGCTGTCACTTACTTCAACAGGAAACTCCCTCTGCTCCTATGTCCAGTTCTGCTCAGTCCTCCTCACACGTGTCCTCCCTAGCATCTGTTTTGTTTTATCTGAAATAATGCAGCCTTATACTGCCCTTAACACTACCACTGTTGTTCTTTTAAACAAGCCCTGCAATAATGACATGCACAAGACAAGAAGCTTCTGTGAGGCGGGACTGTAAATATTGTGATAATTATGATTTATGTCTGCACTAATATTTTCCAAACATGTTCGCCAGAACTTTTAGCCCATGCAGAGACAGCAGGGTGAATATGGCTTTACTATTAACCTCAGTCAGTGTGTCACTAAAGCACATGTTAGTAAAGTGCACTTGGTCGTGCACCACAGAGCCGGAGGATCTGAACTGTCAGGGACCTCAGGGATTCTGTGAAACTGTGACAGAAAAAGAGCCAGCTGCATGCCATCATGCTACATCAGAGTGAGAAAGAAGAAAACACAAGGGAATCTGCATAATTCTCTATTATTGCAATATCTGTGCCACAAATCTCATGCTTTATTCATTCTTTATTCATTCTCTTATCTTTAACAAATAACAACACTTTTGGGGCTGTTCGTTTCATGTGATAAAAGCTATTTGTTAAAAAATATGAAGCGAGTCTTTTTTGTTCAAATGCAAAATGTTCCCAATCAAAAGACATTTTAAAATATCTTTGTCAATTCTTTATCTTCTTCATGTTTGGTCAAAAATGAGTTAATGTCATTATGGGGGTAGCTGAGACCTCCCTTATCATGTGAATAAATACTGTGAAAAATACTGAGCTCAAAATTGACCTTTAACCCTTATTTGGCAGTTCCTGTACTCTGCCTTTGTATCATGTGCCAAAAAAAGGAGTCGTGCAAAGGCCAAAGGCAGTAACAGTGTATGTTTTGTTTGTGAATTAGATAATAATATATTTTATTTTAAAATCCAACCTCTCGCCTCCTTCTTCTTTTGCAGCTTTGGCACAGGGTCTTAACACATTAAATTAATATACGTTTGTTTTCATTTTATTTAAATTACCTTTAATGTGAAAGTATTTTGTGTATTTATTCATACTACTTACTATATTAACTTGTGTGTTTAACTGTTTAACTGTGTAATTGTTGCTGCTCGATCTTGATCAGCACTAAACAGGAAATCCAAAGGACTTCTATATATTTTGAAAGAAACACCATGATGAGTGAGGTGTTCTTCTAATGGATGTAAGTCTGGTGGAAATCAAGCAAATAATGATCATGTTAGTTACTGCCTTTTGGCTTTGCATGACTACTTATTTTTCTCACATGATAGAAAGGCAGAGTGCAGGAACTGCCAAAAAAGGGTCAAAGGTCAATTTTGAAATTTTTAGCTCAGTATTTTTTGTATACAAATATTTCTTCATTATAGCAACTAGTTGTCAAATTTTGGGAGTCCTACCTATTATACTTTTGTCTGGACAAAACAGAACCTCTCAAGTCATTTTTCTCAGTTTTACACACTGGCGAGTTAAGGCCTTTTGCTTTTGTAGGGTAGAATTGGGGGCTGTATTCCTCATCAATATATACAGTATTTTGCATTACAGTGCACCACCAGTGAAATCAATTTCCAATACTTTTAATGAGCTGTTCTGTATTGACATCATTTAGTCAGCAAGAACATGTATTCATGGCAAATCACTGCATCATTCACAGTCCCTCTGGGAGTACCAGCTCTTCCTTTCACACTAATGAGACACACTCATGACACATTTTATTAGTGGTTTGCATGGTTTAGATAACAAAAAAAAAAAAAAAAAAAAAAAAAAAAAAATATATATATATATATATATATATATATATATATATATATATATATATATAGTATAATAAGATCTTTCTTGTTCTTGTAACAAAATAGCTTTTCTTGCATGCTAAAAATGATAATATTTAATACAATCCAGGCTGTAATGAACTAAAGAAATCCTTAGATGTTATGCCTTGTGCATCCATTAATCAACTAAACAGTAGCATGACTTTGAATTAGAATAAGCAAAAACTACTATGTAAAGAAAATAATATCTAAAAGCATGTTAAAATTCAGTTTTATCCATTGACTCAAAAAACTCCATGTTAGACTCCATGCATCTTTTCTACTGTTTTCCTTATAATCCAAACAAAATAATAAGTTTTCTAATCAAAATGACTGATCAGTTAAACAACTAAAGGACTATACCCCCACATAAGCTTATTTTTAATATTTTGAAGTAAAATTCTGCATAAGTGCTCAATTTCTACCTTACTCAGAGCTTCACATCTCTACTGTTTGTGGCCCAGTTTCCTGTTTGTGCTTTGAACTCTTATCATGAGTTTCTGAGAACAGATAAGGGTTGGGGAGTGCGCATGTGGCTAACTCCTCTATTTAAAACTGTGTCATTAAATCAGCTGTGGTAATTTATCACGTGCGGTTATCATATCGCACAGTTGTGTTAAAAGATAAGTTGGCATTTGAGACAGTGGCTGTAAACATGCATTCATATGTTAGAGGCGTGAAACCGGCATCATGTCTTAATGCAACTGCCCTGATTGCAGACAGCATCACACAGAGCTCTTCCTGTGCATTGTCCGATACTAAATATTTCAAGTTCTTTATTTAATGGTGCACTATGCTACTTTTCTGGTGGTAATTCGCCTGGTATGTTAAACATATATAACATTAAACTTTCTGGAGACAAACAAGTGAAGCCACCTGACCAGGTTACAGGTCAGATTTGTGGAGAGGCAACCCCACTTCGAGTAACAATACATGTTTTATTTATTTTTTATTTTTTATTTTGCAAAAGAGCCTGGTTTAGTCAAGAGTTGGTCCAGTTTTGACTTGTTTTAAGGCTGCTTGTCCAGTTGTGGTTTAGACTACATTTAAATCTGTTGCTCAACTCCATATCTGCTTTAATTCTAGTTCACACCAAATTTAGAATAGGGGTTTTGTCATGCTTCCTGTCTGCTTAATCCTCCTGGGAAGACATTTGGACGTGTGCCGCATAAATTGGTCTCATACTGTATATACAGTCTATGATTGGTCTACAATAGAAAGTCCAGCCAAAGATGCTGACAATAGCTGAAGTCATTGCAGTTCCTCCTTGTTAATGACTCAGTGTGTACAATCCGTTTTTCTGTTGTTCAGGAAACAGGCCCAGGGAGTCGTGTGGAAAGACCTGCCAAGGCGACCGAGACGACGAATGGATGGGGGTCAGTCTGGCTCGGCAGGACAAAACCAACGGCAAAATCCTGGTAAGGTCCTTACCACATCTTGAAAAACAGTGTAAAATCATGCATCTTCCAAAGAAAAGGACCAAACAATACAACAATCAATTGACTGAGCTAATTAAAGTCTCTTGGGGAATTTTAGACTACAATGCATTATTGATATGACATTTTATATTACTCCTGGGACACATTGCATTATGAGGGATTTCCTTAGCCTGAAGGAAAGATTGGAGCAGTTGTTCCCCAATTATAATAAATAATTTTATTATGTGTGTTTTTTCTGTGTTACAATAAATAAGAGTAAACAATATAAATATAATTAGTTTAAGTTAGAAGACCAGTTAAGTCTGAAATAAATTTACATGTTAAGATTTACAGTGCCATTTACACTCATAAAAGTGGTTATACCAACATCATTGTAGCAAATGTCTGGGCTTAAACCACACTGTTATACCGCAGCTGCTCACCCACTTTTAAGACTGTCAGTGAGCCTCTTATTTTGTTACATGTTTTCACTCCTAAAACCTGAACTGAAGTGTGAACTTTGAAAGATTTGTTCTATTAGAGACCAAAACTCTTATAAAGAGATACAAATCTTATTATTAGTTATTTGCAGTTACATAAGGATACCGAATAAATGCAGCTTGTTTTGCACTTACAAAGTTACAGTTTGTTAAAATTGGATAGACAGTTATAAATGGAGAAATGCTACAGTTAAAAGTATCTGTTGGAGTTACTCCCAGAGGTGCTTTGGTGAGTGTTTGCTCAGATCAAAGTTCAAATGGAAGAGTTTATTTGGTCTTCAACCTCTCAGTGGTGGTCCCATTCAGGTGCAGGCTTCATTAAAGCTTAACCCTGCTCCCATGCAGTGAACAGATACTGTAGAACGTTGAGGGCCTGGCAGATCAGGTGGCAGATCAGTCTGAGGGTGACAATGGACTAGACAGTTTGTACATCAATATGTTTGTGACATTTGCCAATTTTTTTCCCATTTTGTATGTTTTTTTTTTGTTGTTGTTGTTCCTCAGTTTGTATGAAACCATGATTTTTAACAAGGGCACAAACTAGAAGCCATGACTTATTGATTTTGATATGAAATGGGATTCTTAAATATGGTGTGAGAGTCAAAATTGTTCATATTAGCTGCTATCTATATTGTAATAGCCTATTTCAAAAATGCAAGTAGTCAAAATTTTCTGCTGTTCAAAACTATTATCTTGGAAATCCTTTCAGTATACACTACCAGTCAACATTTTGGACATAGACTCATTTATGTTTCGTCTTTACTTCCTTGTTTTTTTACATTGACTATCAATGGATAGATATGTACCAATCTACATAATCCCACATCTTACTTCATATATTTGATGTCTTCTGTATGTATATAAAATGTAGAAAGTAGGAAACATAAAGAAAAAAAAAAAACATTGAACAAAACGATGTGTCCAAACTTTTGACGGTAGAGTATGTCAAGATACCTATTTGGCCTTTTCAAAACTATATCCACTTTCACTGTTTGTCTGGCCTTTTTTCCATTTTAGTGGAATTTGTTGGCGAGCCTTCCGGCCCATTTACTCTTGGCCTTTGTAGTCCTTCAGTCAAACCGTGTTGGATATGTCAACTCTTAGAATCTGAGCTTTGAATTGTATAACAGCTGACTTTTACATGCAGACAGACCCTGTCCACGTGTTACTGTAATGCAGTAGGTTTTTTTTTTTATTTGAATGGCGTCACATTTCCATGCATGCAGAGGGGAAAGGCTGTGGGGCAGATGTTGTATGGTGCTGATTTAATCTGGGGGTCCTGTTTGTAACTAGTGAGGTCTTTAACAGAGTAGAACATGACATGCACACACTCCTTATATGGTCATTCTCTATCAGAGCAGAAAACCAAGAGGACTTCAGTGTTTTTAGAAGAGCTTCACTCAAAGTCAGTTGCAGTGTAGAGACCATGCACTCCTATTGTTAGTGTTAATCGGTAAAAGTCATGGTTTAGTATGCTGCAATGGATAATGGACCACAAAGTAAATAAAAGTATTAAATAATTACAAAACTTTGTCAAATCAAAACTACACATGATATGGTACTTTTGTCAACTGTTTAGTATTAACACTATTGGTATACCTCCACAACCACTACTACTACTTTTAATAAAATACTGCTACAAAAACAATTTCTACTGACCCTGCATTCATGCTACTGCTGCTATTATATTATGCTATGTATGCAAAGGTTGTGTATTTTCTTATTCTGGAGAAGTATCATTTTTATTCTCTGATATCTAGTCCATCTAATGTTATGTGTGGCCTCAAACTCTGGCTTGATTTGGCTTGGCTGTTTTATGTGTGGGGGCGGGGGGCTGCTGGGGTTAAACAATTCAAGGGGAAATTAAGTGAACTCTGTCTGTGGAGGAGCATCGAAGAGCCTCGGGGTGCACCACCACAATCCCCCAGGGAGGTCACTTATTACCACACATACACTCTGACCACTCTGCACTGTCCCAAATCAACAGTGTCATGTTTGGTTTAACACATCATTTCAGATATAAGTATCTAAGATATTTAGTTTAGAATATTATTAAATATTACTCTGGTGTGTTTTGGAGTGTTTCCTATTCCAATATTTTAAACCAATGGGTGGCGTTTGATGTGGATTTTATGTCATGGATTATCTGAAATGCATATGCAAAAGTGGTAAGAGATATAGATGTATAAAAAAAAAATGATCAAAAAAGTTGTTAAATGTTGTGGAAATATGCAAGTATAGAATATGAAGTGATATATTAAAAACAGCAAACACATGTCAAAAAGAAGTAATAAAAACAAACTAAATATTTCAAGGGTATAACGTGATATTTCTGCAAATCGTTCACCTCAAGTGGACATTTTAAAACTGTTTCCTGAATGGATTTGAGAAGAAACAGCTGTTTGTTTGGCTGTTTGTGTCGGGCTTGCCAGAAATAAGCTTCTTTAGTTGAAACAGACAATACCCTACTTGCAAAGAAAAATGAATTTCATATTGTAAAGTGAGAAGCAATAAACTGCTAATGGACATAATTGCATCCTGCTGTCCAGACCAGAACCACTCCTATTTAAGATAATCTGTTTGGAAACATGTTGATTTTTACTACAACCCTAATGAGAAAATTAGCTGACAACTATCTATCTTCACTTATTAAATCTTTTTGGGAAGCTCAGATTGGAGATATTCACACCACAGACCAAAGCCCTTATGGTCAGGCCTGGCTGCTCTTTAATTGACCCCTTTTTATTGACAATGATGACAGCCGCACAGACGCACTGACTCCAGCTTGGTGAGAGGGGCTTAGGCACTCACCGATTCAGCCTCTGCCTCCCGCCTCTCACTGTTTGTGTACTGTGTCAGTGACATTTTCCCTTGTTGATGTACAGCCAGTTGTTTTTAGTTGGTGTTCCCACAAAGTACAAAAGTTCAGTTTTTAGTACAAAAGCTACAGGTTTAAGTTTATTTAAACATTATGCAAAATACTGAATAAAATCAATAAATTACACAATGTACATATACCATGTTTTAATCTAGTAGTGTAATACATATATGTTATTCTTTGGCTTTTTTCACACCACTTCCTTCTCTCATAGGCCTGTGCTCACCGATGGAAGAACGTCTATTACGACTCAGAGTATATTTTACCCCATGGATACTGCTCCATCATCTCTCCCAATCTACAGGGTAAAACCAGGCCACTTATCCCCTGTTATGAAGGTAAATACACGCACCCAGCAACTTATTAGCTTGTTCCACCTTTGTTTACTTTTAACATTGTTTTGGCTAATGCATCTCTATGGGCGCTTTTGCACAGCAGAATGGAAGATTTTGTCGATAATGATCGCTTTTAGATATCCAATCCCAAAGTCTATTGTTACAATATTGTGCTATTGGAAATCGGAAATCTGTGCAAAACAAAAATCAAGGAACATGATTTGAATCTGAATGTATTTTATCCTGGTCGTAGAGGCCATGGTACCTGCCAAAATATACAAAACATTTCAAATACAGGAAATTGCTTTTAAAGAATTGAGCCACGTAGAGCCAGCCAAAGTCACAAACATTGGTCCCAGGAAAACTGTTGGTATTCAAAGCAGAGCATCCAACACAAAAACACATCATTCATTAAATCAAGCTGATGAAAACAATCTTTAATGACACGCCAGACACATTAAGAACAAATATTCATCAAAGTCATTCCAGCACTTTAAAAATATGTAATCACCAACCCCAGATTTGGAGTTCACATGTGCGTTGTTTTATAAATGTGTCTCCTACTGCATAAATTACAAGTTTGTGCACACAGGAACATGGTACTTGTAGCTGAGAAATGTACAGATCATGTATAAGAAGTGTAAATATTTGAAGCAAAGGGGAAATAGTATATCAGTCATATTATGATATAACAAAAACATGTGCAAAAATCTGTTGTTTTTAAACCACAAATGCTGTAAACTGCAACAGCCAAGACAAAACTACATCCATTCTCACACTTTTTAAAGGCTTGTAAAACAGGTAAGTATGCGTCATTGCACTATAAAAGAAAGCATGAAAAAAAACATCCCATCCTCCTGGTAATAATCCTCCTCCTGGCTCTTGTGTTGTGGTTAGTGTTGTCATGATCGCACGTGATGGCTACAGTCAGCACTACATTACCGTTAGCAGCCCCACATGCCTTTGGTCTGGCTCTGAATACTCTAGTAGCAGTTTGAAATCCTTGTGGGGTCCTTCTCAAGTCTACACTCTGGCTACATCATAATTTAAAAACACTGTTACCTTAAAGTGTCAAATAATTGAGTAATACATGTGGGGCACATACTTTTACAATGTAACACCTTTTAGCGAGCAGCTTGATAAGGAACAGTGGTTTTCCATAATTTTCTGCCAAAACCTTCATGCTATCCAAAGAATGTTTCTGTTTTGAACCGACTCAAAAAGAGCCATTTGCACTGCAGGTTGCTTTGCCTTCTATAGATTTTATAGAATTATTAGCCTGTTACACATGTGTAGAAGAATGCGTTATATAATTGGCATTAAGCTGAGTCATTTAAATGTGCGCATATGTTGGGTGTTATGTTTTTTATTTTACGTTACCAGAGTCGCACTTCCTCTCTTGACTCTTGTTGGCTGCTTGAGAAGCCAAGAGTTCGTAGGGGACTGTGTTTACAATGCATTTTCCCCAAATCCAAACTCAATATTTTTGTAACGTGAGAACTGAGTCCCCCACCACCAGAGTCGAGGATCTTGTAGAATGTGGTGGTTCCCAAACTGTTGAAAGGAGAACAGTGTAGGTTCACAGGCTTGATCTAGTGGTTTTCAGGGGGTCATGTCCTGATTATTTCAGTTTGGAGTTAGCTTTTATAACCCTTTTGATTCTTTGGTTGGAGCTCATTTTTAAAATATACTGCTGTGGTTATAGTTAAGTTCTTTTGTCCTAAGACCCTGGATTTAGTTGTGCCACGAACTTGGTTCAATCCTGAATTCATCCTTGTTTTCATCTTATGCCTTTGGATATTAGTTCAGTTCTCAGTAGGTTATGTCCTGACTTGGCTTGACTTGATTTAGTATTAAAGTCCTGTTTTAGAAGTGGTTTAGTCTCTAGTCCTGGTTTAGACCTGGTTTAGTCCTTAGTTCTAGTTTGAACTTGGTTTAGTCCCTGATTCTTAGTCCGTGATCTTTGTATAGACCTGGCTGCACCCCGTCTGCCTGTGTCTGCTGGTGCCCCTGGTTCCTCTGGATGAGACTGGGACTTGAGTAGCTCCATATGGAATGCAGGAAAAACTCCAGTAAACTCTGGCTCAAGCACACAGTGAAATAATTTGTGGTTTGTTTTTTCTTACAGACTATAAGCAGAAATATGGGGAAGAGCACGGCTCGTGCCAAGCCGGGATTGCTGGCGTATTCACCGAGGTCAGTAACAATCCCTGTTCGTCTTCATAATCTCTGTAATTCTCAGTGCCTCTTTCTAACACATTTACTATATTATCTCCTAAACCACATGTGTGAATGGATGACACCAGAGCTCTCTTTTGATGCAGACAAGAAACACTCAGTTTTTCTTGTAAAGATTTTGACTTCGCATCAGAACATTGTTTACACACAACCCATTATTATCCTATCAGTATTGTAACACAAGCTTTGTACATTATAATCCAAATTCATCATTTACATGATAAAGCTTTCATGATGTGCCCCAGTGGTCTAATTATATTTGAGTTAGCCCTGGCTTTGTTTGAAGTTCTGATGAAGTCCCATGCACTTCTCATCCCAATGAACAGAAATAAAATTGGTCTAGTTTAAAACTACATGTCTATCTATGGTTACTGCAGCCCTCTCAGTGTTCCTCATTAAAACAAATGACCTAACAAATCTCTCTTCATCACCTCACGTTACACTGCACTGATTTTGTCAAAGACCACCTCAGCTGATCTGTAAATTCCGGCCCATTAGATTAGAACATAAGAGAGGGTTTGTATCCCCGCAGCCACTGCATTTGACCACTGATAATTGTGGCGTATATGTTTCCATGGACAGAGGAAGGCCCTGTGCGACCCCCAGTGTTTCCACAGATAAAGAAAATACACACACTTCCTGTTCTGTAACTGACGTCTGCTGTTCCTCACTCAGCCATGACATCACCCCTCATGTGTGGGACCCTCATTTCCCTCAAACAGCATCAGTGTATAAACTGTGTATGTTTTCTGAGAGGATGGTCAAACACATGTCAATTTAAAGGACAAGGCTTTGTTTAACTTTCACTCAATTATGCGTAAAATAACAATGGTGTAAAGCTATCGGAGATATCCTGAGCTGAGCTCCTTTATTGCAGATGGATAAAGCCTTAGCCATGCTTTTCTCTTGGAAGTTTGGTGGAGATTCTGCCAACTTCTTGTCTCTATGGAGATGTGATTGCTTTCTCTGAAATGTTCCACAGTATGGCATTAAACCATTATATCTTATATCTTATATAGATATCAAATATATATATATATATATACATACATACATACATACATATATATATATATATATATATATATATATATATATACACATACATACATACATACATACATATATATATATATATATATATATATATATATATATATACACACACACATATATATATATATATATATATATATATATATATATATATATATATATATATATATATATATATATATATATATATATATATATATATATATATATATATACATATATATATAAATTTAATTCCAAATGTTTTTATTGCTCAATGTACTTTACTTTGATATCACTGCATTCTTACCATCAGTGGCTGCTTTTCTACATGGAAATGGATACATTAAATGCCAAACTTTGTAAATTTTCCTTGGAGACAAGTTGGTGGCAGACCCTTTACCAAAAAAGTTACATAGTGCACCTTCATGGTAACCCCCCAGAATTACTAAAAATATCACCGTGATCATTCATGAAAAGTTATTTGATCATCATCACAGAAACAGCTAACTGCATTTTACTTTTTTCTGGAAGTCCGGAAGCATGATGCATGTAGTTTTAACCCATTCGGACATTTGTTTTCTATAGATTACCTTTATAATTCTTTCCTCATGTTGTCTGTGTGCACTACTGGACCTCTGTCTCGGGTTCCAGTTACAGTCAATTTGAGGCGTATTGAATGATACAGGGGGCTGTGAAATGGCTTTAAATGAATCCTCACATGGCACAAAGAGCTTTTAGGTTAATCTGTTCCCATTTGGTATAAGTGATAAGTATACAGCATGGAGACACATGCCTCTATAGGAAACTTAGAAAAGTCTCAAGAGAAAGTACATGGACATGCAACTCATTTTAATAAACTGAAACAGATTACGTGTATATTCAGAAAAAACAGGAAAATTGATGGGTTTTTTGACTTTGATTATATAAAATACATCCTATCCTCAAGGCTAATCTAATCCAAAACAATAATTTCAGTGCCAAAACCTTGTATGGATAAAAAAAGATAATTACACTAGAATTCAGTTCCTAGGGACATTAGATTATGCAGCCTAATTTTATAGAACATATTTGTAACAACTTTCAATCAGCAATAAAAAAATAAAAGTGTACACAATGACAGACCACTGACTTGAAATGAACATTTGAATTATGTTACTATGATGTGCCTCTACATATAGTTTTTCATTGACTTTTAGTGTATTTAGGAGCCCATTAGACATGGGTTTCACAGATGGGGTATGTCAGCATTGATCTGGTAAAACGTTTGAGGGACCCCCCTCTGAAAGAATGTGAAGAATTCAAGTGAAAACGAAGGCCAACTGTTGGTGTCCTCTCCTCTGTCTCAGACCAGGCTGATACGACCACTGCTGCCATGATGGACAGGCAATTTTTTTGCCTTGTTTCCCATATCATTATTTCTAGCTTGCAACCTCCAAACATCAAAACAGCAACAGAAATGTGTGAACATGTCGTTTTATAGGACCAAGATCAGAGCAAATTCCTGAAAAATATCAAAGCTCAAGCAGGCATGCCACAGGGACAAGGGGAAAAGACATCATACTGTGGTTGGTTTTAGGGTAAATGTGCTCCCCTTTGATTTATATCAAATTGATGATATTTGAGTGTCTGTAAAGTGTCACATTTGACAATAAGCAACCAAAAATACTCTATACTGATAGTACTAAGCAATATTTACTTACATGCATCCTTATATATGTTTTCTCCTCAATACATTAGTACAAACATGTGTGCCATCTGGACATGTGGTTAAGAGCAGATAGTGCAAACCAAGCTGTGGCCGATGGTTAACCAGGGCTTCACCCAGCTCTGTGTTTCCTTTTACTACCGCGGGTTTATTATATGGTTTCACACTACACATATGTGACCAGAGGGGCTGCATTTGCATTTCAGGAGCTGGTGGTCATGGGGGCTCCTGGGTCATACTACTGGACCGGGACAATCAAAGTGTACAATCTGACTTCTGACACCTTCTACAGCCCCAACCAGGAAGAAGTGGACTCACATAGATATAGCTACCTCGGTGAGAGTGAATGCACAGACATCTTTGTCGTAGTCATAAATCTGGAGTGAATTGCGCTGAAAGGTGATGTCCTGCTGCTCAGTGACTGTGTCTGTGTCCTCAGGCTACGCTGTGACCGCGGGACATTTCTCCTCTCACAATGTGATCGACATCGCAGCCGGGGCGCCCCAGCACAGTGGCAGTGGCAAAGTACGGACATCCTCCTCTCTCCCTCATTGTTTAAAACCATAGGATTTATTGTATGCACTAACCTTGTAACTCATTGAGTATGTTACTTTGAAGATAATCACTCACTAATAGGACAAGTAAACATAATTGTCTTACAGTGGAAAGGAAAATCAGACAGAGATTTCCAACTTAAACAGCAAAAATAAAACCAATTTTAATGTGTTGTCCAGATATATTAATCTATTTCAATTGCATTCCTCTGTGTTTAACCCTTTTCTTGGAAACCCCTTTTTAAAATGTCACCAAAATCTTTTCCACTTCTTCATAATTTTGTATTTACTTAATACCCAAAACACTGTTATTTTTAACACAAAAAAACTATCAAAATATTATAATGTCAACAGTCAAACTGATTTTTCCAGGTCCCAATCAATGGAGTCTTGTGGCTCTAAGAAGTGTTTCATTTCCCCTTTGGAAATAGTTGCCTCAAGACAAAGTAAAGAAATCAGCTCACATGTTCTGTCACATCAAATGTTTACTTCACATCTCAAAACAAGTCAAAGGAGATGCCTCTTGAACTTATACAATGATGAAGTTATAAAATGTAACTTTGATACTAACACTGTTAGGCATGTCTGACACCATTTGCTTGTCTTTTGCAGGTTTACATTTTCAAAATTGATGGAGGATCTTTGGTGAAGATTTTTCAAGCCTCAGGGAAAATGGTAGGATGTGGTCATATGGAGTTCCTGTCCTGTTTCAGATCAGCAAACATATTGGATCGAGGCTATGTCCCACTAATGCTAACATGAAAAGGACATGGGTGTGCTGTGTTTATTGTCGCCCGCTGTGGAGATTATGTGGTTGAGTTATTCAGATGCAAAGCAAAAACAGGACTGTAATTATCCTGTTGTTAGAAGTGCACTGTTTATGTCTGCATTAAGTGTTTGGATAGTCCAGGGGAAAATGACTTGCGAGAAAGCAGGTTCAGAGGTAGCTAATGCTTTCCATTCAAAGTAAACAAAAGGAAGTTGGAGTGGCTAAAGGTAAACGTTGAGTAAATATTCATTCAGTTTTGGGAAAGATATTAAAGTGGGAGTAAATCCGCTCAGATTTTGTCTTGTGTCAGTCATGCCAATGTCCACTGGATTATCTCACCCAGTGCTATTATTATCCAACCTCAAACTGTGGGACAGATATAAGTGGTTGCCAGCTAGTTCTGTTACATAGGCCTATAATGAGGATTAAGGGTGCGCTAACAATGTCAGGTTTGGTCCTGGTTCCAACCCAGTTTAGTCTTGATTTAGTCTTGGTCTAGACCAATTTAGCTCTGGGTTTAGTCTGAGCATAATCACTTTCACAACAAGAGTTCACAGCTTTTTAAAATGTTAAATGTTTTGTGGTTTAAGAACAAGTCTTTAAATTACTACTATCTAATGTTTTAATAGGAGTATTTTGACATTTTTTATTGTAGTTGAAGTTTTAGTAATTTTCACTCACTGTAAGCAATATTTTTGTTTACATCCTTAATTAAGTCTACCCAGCACAATAGCCAAGAGCTAACAGTAGCTAACGCTAACCTGTTGCTTGTGTTTCAGATGGGCTCTTACTTCGGCTCCTCTTTGTGTGCTGTGGATCTGAACCAGGACGGGCTGTCTGACCTGCTGGTGGGAGCTCCCATGCATAGCCAGCTCCGGGACGAGGGCCAAGTGTCTGTGTACCTCAGCAAAGGCAATGTAAGTAAGACACGCAATGAACCAGTAACCTAAGACCATAACAGAGAAGAGATAGATTTATGGCTCTACAGTGAACATTGTAAAGAGGACATATGTAAAAATCAACCTTTATAAGCTTTTTACCAGGTTACAATGGTTCTCCCTCATTATTAGCTTACCAAAAGTTGTATTCTAATTGATGTATATTTTAGTTATTCTGAATTGTTTTGCATTCGAGGCAGAGTGCTCAGAAAAATCCTGTTTTCACTTACCCCCAAACCTGCTCACATTTCTGTACATATCTGCAATTATTTGACAGATTAAGACAAAAAAATCAGTAACCATTCCTCAATATTAAAAACATGCAAATGAAAATGGGCTTCTTGCTACCGTGAAATACCACTATACAGAGGCAGGTTTCGCAATTTCTATTATTAAGCCATTTCAGATTAATAATAAGTTTTGCAAAGAACAAAATGTAAACTGATGATCTTTATATCGTTATAGTTTAATGCTAAGTAACAGGAGAAAACTGTTATATGGCTCCTTTAAATCCATAGCAGTGTTGATTTTTCGCACATGCTCTGTTTATTTCTGAACCTAACTCATCGCGTGTCATCACAGTATATAGTGCATCAGTGGAATTAGTCATCCTGCCAAGATTTAACCTTCTGGTTTTTACCCTTATTTATGATTTACTGGTTGTTAAACGTTTGGATGACAGCCAAGTAACTGTTGTGGAGCTCAGGAATTCGAGATAAATCAGATAAAAGATGCAGGTTTTCATTGTGCTTCGGAGGGCTGTTCATTTGTAGTCTTTCATCTGTTGACATTGTTTTTCCTGCTTCTGTTTTCAGGGTGTGATGGAGGAGGGTGGCGTGCTGACCGGAGACAATGCGTACAATGCACACTTTGGGGAGAGCATCGCGGCGATTGGGGACATAGACGATGATGGTTATCAAGGTCAGTCAGGGCTTATTTATAGTACAAGGTTCTCATTAAATGCACTAAGCTATGTTTATTAAGTAATGGGTCATTGACAACAGGATTAAGATCTGTTTAAGAGATTCTGTAGAGGATTAAGATACTAAAAACACTTAATTTACCTTAATTCACCCAAGTTTAATGGGCTATTTTGATTTTGGCTTGGATTTAAGTGCTAATAACCTAGGAACAATTAATCTTATTAGTTTTTCTATGTTTTATTGCAAGATAGGATCAGATAGGCTACACTCAAAATTACTTATAGTTTAAACTTTATTTTGTAATTTTACCTATAGTCAACAAGTATATTAATATACTTTTTGACTGCAGCCTTTCTGGACATATACATTTTGTGCATATTTTGGCAAGCAGACCAACTATTGTGGCTAGCAGCTGCATTGTAGATAATTTGATAATGTCTTGTACAACGATAAGGTTCCCACAATCTTGTAATCAGTTTAGATTGTGGTATAATATAAATGTACTGAAAACACCAGCCTCAGAGTTTCATATATGTATTTCTTTGTCTTATATTTCATTGTCCAATGGTTTTACTATTAGTGCTACTGCTACTACAACTACTACTACTGCTATTGCTACTACTACTACTACTACTGCTACTATTACTACTATTACTACTACTACTACTACTACTACTACTACTACTACTAAATCTTAAGTTAACCACAAGGTAATAATGTCCAGAGGCCCTTAAAGTTTATTTCAGTCCTGTGTATCATTTGACTCAGAAGATATTGTGTACTGCTAAAAGACTTGTGTTGTTGTTGTTGTCATTGAGAGTTGAGATTAATTACAGTGGACCAGGGGGGTTGTTTAGATCTATGGTTAGTCCAACAAAACTCATTATTCATTTGTTGTTCTAACTCTTTTATTTGATCTTGAAAATGTTGTTTTCTCCTATTTTGCTTGGACACAAATCAAAACATCAAAACATCAAATTGATAGAAACTGATGTAATCTGTAACTCTAAAACCAAATTTATAACTTTATCCATGACAGTTATGACCATTCAAGACCAATTAGCCTATGTTATTGTTTCCCATCTTTGAGAGTTAATGGGAGTTTATGTTACTGATTAAGGCTGTAGTCCTTTTATAATATGTATATTTGGAGCGAGTGGACAGCTTAATCTGCCTTTTCACATAGTCATTTTTGGTGAGACTTCTTTTGTCAACCACAGCCCTGTGACTGACATTTTTCAAGTTCTATTGTGACAGTCCAAGTAAATATTTGTTTGCATGTTCCTAAACACACATTCTGTATCCCACCCACTGATGTTATGCCCGTTTGATGTAATGCCCAGTCTACGGTCCACACGTGCCTGCACATATGCTTCGGACACGTGTCCTCTTGGATTAGTTTTTGAACCAGACTCTGGTACTTGGCTTCATCTGTGTGAGATCTGCTCCAGCGCCTGCAGCCTGGCATCGTGCGGGCTGTGTGCAGAAAGATGGCAGCTGTAAGATATAACTCACCATGAAATATGTCACTCTCTCAACGAGACACCAGTTCAGTCACTTGTCGGGGGAAATGTACTTACAACTCCACCACTGCTTTCTGTACGCATCATTAGAGAAGAATACCCACAAAAAACATTAAATATTGAAAACTGAAATAATGGGGATTTCTTTTTTATATTAGACACTAAAACATGAATTGAAAATTTTTGAAACTTTAAAACTGAAACTGTCTCAAAGCTTACAAAAGTCACCACATTAAACCTAGGTCTATAACTAATATAGACTAAACCTAAATTAGCCCTGAATAACCCTTACTACATTAGGACTAAATCAAATAATGAATAGGAATGAAATAGCACAAAATGTCAATAATTCAATAAGTTCTTTATATTGTATTAACAAGTGTAAATGTTTGCATTGTCTAATATTAATATGAAAATAAATTTTCAGACTCTACATTTAAAGTTTGGTTAAGATTTAGGGGCCCAAATGTTAACCAAACTTTTTTTTCCTACTTTAGTTTAAAAATAAACTACTTGTTTTTAATAGAAATATTCCCAAATGGAAATGGAGGATTAGGGACAGCGTTGTTTTTGTGCTTCTGCCAGACCTTTATAGTCTTGTTTCCACTCTCTCACAAGAGTTTTACAGCCACTAACCACTCCTAATTGTCTATTAAGATTCTTACTGTAACAGCTTGCTACGCATACACCATTCAGCTCAGTTAACACTACATGCATGTAAAATATAGTAGTTTTGATGAAATGTTTTTGTCATTGCAGATGTAGCCATTGGAGCCCCTAAAGAGGATGACTACAGTGGAGCAGTGTATATTTATCATGGAGATGCCACAGGGATTATCAAAAAGTACTCCATGGTAAGAACACATCTGTTTTCAATGCTTTATCTATTATCATATTTTTGAATCACATTTGCTTATCATTATGTTCTGAGTAACCACTTAAATTTTCCTTGGCATCAGTGACATCAAAGAAATAGTTAGTTAATGAAGAGCGCAAAGACCGGAAACCGGACAAATTCAACTAACTAAGCTAACCTAGTTTATCTTGGCCTCCAGGAAGTCACCAGAACTAAATGCTTCACAGATACATATTTTCATCAAACAGACCCCAAACAATGCCCTGCTCTGTCTGTAGAGCTATTATTAGATAGTTGCCAGTGTTTTTGAACTTTGAAAAGCAGTAAGGCAGTTGCATACCCTGGTTTTACTGGCTGTGTCTAAATTTCAATATTAATCCGTAACTGTTTATAACACTATTCAATTACAGTGAAAAATGCATTACTCAACTCTTGGTGCTTCGTTTCTCCACTTCGCTTGTGTCCATTGATGCATGCTTTGCTAAGTCAAACAGTAAAACTAAATTGTCCTGAGTGAATGAATAAGAGCATGGATAATTGTCTGTTGTGTAGCTCTCAGTGTTGCAATTTAATGGCCATTGCCCTGTATTTCTGGCAACTTAACTTATACATTTTGTTTACATCACTGGATAAACTGCCTTTTCTTTCCTGTATCCTGTAGCATTGTCTAAAGCTTTTCATCTAAATTTAGCTTTAACTTTGTCTGGTGTGAGAGTCAACTAGCTGCTTGTCTCCATAGAAATGTTATTGCTTTGGAATGCATTCAGCTTACCCATTTTGCATAACTTTAATTACAGGTGTGTTTATTGGAAAAATACCCTGAAAATTTTGTATTATTGCTTTGGGCGGGGTAATCCCTCCACAGATGTCACCTGTAACATGACCTATTAGAATTGCCGTCTTGTGTCAGAGATGTTTAATGTTTTGTGAAACATTCTAAGCAAAACAAAAGTTTCTCCATGGAGGCAAGCTGGTGTCTTACATTTATTACTTAGGTAACTGACTGATTATGTGACCCCGGTTTAGCTGAACCTGTTAAACCTTATAACCTTATAAATTATGGATAAAACACACATTGTTCTCCTTTTGTGTTTGCTCACATAATTTACCAGAATCTGTGTTTTAGAAACTGTCCGGACGCAGCGTGGACCCTGGTCTGCAGATGTTTGGCCAGTCCATCTCTGGCACAGTGGACATGGATGCCAACGGATATGCAGGTACTGACAAACTACAAAGTTAGGCTAATCTTGGAACGGAAATAAATTAGACAACATTATTAAGCAAAGATGGGAAATAATAGCTTTATGAGTATTATGGTTTATGGCCATGTCCTGCAGCATACTTGTAACAGAGGCATCTTGTTTACTGCATTCCTGAGCTGACAGCATGACAGTGCACAGCCTATTGTGCTTTGTTTAAACTTTGCAGGTGTAGAAAGAAAGAAACAATTTATGTTATTTATATAATTTATTGCTGTATAACTAACTATTCCTAACTTTTTTTTTTTGTAGATGTCACAATCGGGGCATTTATGTCAGACAGTGTTGTACTTTTAAGGTGAGCAGAAATTACATGTATCATTTAGTTTGAAATACATTATTAATAATTATTTTCCCAGTCAATTTTCCAACTCTTTCTGTATGTGCATTTAAGATCATAATATGTAATGGTTTGTAATGTCTAGAAGCTTTGACCACATGTTAAACTAAATTAAACATATTTGCTTGCAGTATACTACATTTTCAAATATGTTACTATATGATTGTTTCAGCCTAAAAGTTGAGAAGTGAATATTATGTGTAATGTATGTTTGTGTGTATGTTTGTATGTGTATTTGTGTGTGAGAGTGTGTGTGTGTAAGTCTTACGGGGTCCCTAAAATGTCTCTAAATGTATCTCCAGGTCCCGTCCGGTCATCACAGTAGATGTCTCCATCCTGCTGCCTGTGTCCATCAACATCACAGTCCCCCAGTGTCACGAGGGAAACAACCACAACCTCAACTGCTTCAGCGTCACTGTCTGCATGCGTTTCCGCGGGAGACAGCTGCCCGGCCAAATAGGTAAATAGAAAAAACTGAAAGGAAAAAAGAAACATCAGTTTAAATGTTGGTGAGGGAGATTCACAACAGGGCTGTCACTGGTCATATAAGTTATTTCCACATTTGCATTTCTGGAGTTTTTAAAATCCACCCAATAAAATGAATTCAATTAAGTCTTGTGAGATAATGTGGTGAAGCTGTGGTTGACCATGAATCTTAATCTAGCAGCTGAACATTGATTTAATTGTTCTTTTGGTGCTATTAATAGAAGTGTAATAAGTATTCATTGTCTCTACTTGGAAATTACAACATGGTGTTATTGAGCTGACATTGAAAGGAATGATGATCTAAATATTTGCAATTCTTTTTAAGTATTTTACTACTTTTTGAGGGGGATAGTTTCCAGTAGCACCAATGTGAGTTTTGTCCAGGTTGTGTGCCCCATATATATGCAAGAATAGTTTCCAGAAAAAGATAAAACACAACCTTGAGATGGTAACAATTTTAAGGTCACAGTTTACACTTTAGGAGGGTTCAACAGACTTAACTAATAACAGATAACTGTACATAACTAGGGTGTGCCAGATTCAGTGTAGTTAGCTCCTCTCTTCAGACAGATATTTAAGGCAGTCAGTTGCCAAAGTAAAACATTTTCTTCTTGAAATAGCTAAGTTTTCTTTAGAAATTTACCTTTAAAATGTGTGAATTGAGTAATACAAACCACTTCTATTACAGATGTAGACGATCATTATGGTTGACATTTGGTTTTCCAGGGTCTCTCGGTGTACTTGTTCGATAGTTACCTTTTGGCATTGCTGCTTTGGGGTGTGGTAGCCGTTGAAGTGCTGAGGTGCAGACTTGTTCCAGTGTTGGGGTGTGTCCCTGCCCCACCCCCCACGGGACCAGACCTTCTGTTGTTACATAATGACTGCACTTGCCTGGTCCGTGTGAATAGGCCTTCTCTGTTTGTCCGTCTGGCGTATATAGTGGAAAATAGCATGTGTTTGGGAACTGCTATAATGAAACCTGCCTTTGCCTCCTCTGGTCTGAGCTCATAGCTGGAAAACAGTAGGTCTTGGTTCGACTTGGGTGTGTGTTGCCACCCCTCCCACTGTTTTACCACTATGACACCCTCTTGAAGTCATTTCAAACTAAGGCTGATTCATGTTTGGGAGTATCTGTTAAATGTCTAAAAGACCAAATATGGGCTTCTGGGGGAAAAAATATGATTTCAGTCAAAATAATGTTTAATAATAAATAAATAAAATTTATGTTCTTCAGTATAAGTTAGGGTGGAACCACTAACTTCACAGATGTTGTAGTGTTTTTGCATTGCCCGCTTTCACATCATTACAACTTAAGCTCCACCAGCTTCTAAATTTGTTTCCTCTATTAACTTTTCCCATTAACAACAAATAGGTGTTCTATCCATTCATGTGAAATAACCTTGGCTGTTGTGTTTGATCTATAAATTAAATCTTTAAATCTGAAGTGAGGTTAGACTCTGAAAATGATGTTAAATTGATGGACATTACAGCTTATTGACTTCAACAAGGAGGTTTTGTTCAGTCAAGCTAGTGTCAAAAGAAAATGAAAATCGCCCCAATAAGTGTCCAAATTTCTCCTACTGTCCCACGTTTATTTAAAGGTAATAAAACATAATTTATTTTTATTCGCATTTGACTGCAATTACCAATGACCTCAAGTCTGCATAGTTTTAATAGCTGTTAGAGACAATTATTTCTAAGGGCCATTGCTGCATCTCAGAGGTTCTTAACTATTTAATTATGTGTGAAACCAGTGCATGTTTTTTTAGTTTGTATAAACAAGCTTTAATAAATTGTCTTTTAAAATATGTTGTAACCCTTTATAATACTAGTACATGAATTAATGCATCAATAGCATAATGTATACATTTCTTACTCATGATTTTCCAGCTCTATCTCTTGGATTTGGATTGGCCTTTTTCAGTCTTGATGTAATGTAATTCTAGTGCAGAAAGGTTTCAGATGTGGTTTAGTTTTTGTTTAGATCTGATTTACTAACCCTAAGACCTTATTGACTGGTTCATCATGGTTTTTGAAAGGCATACCTGTCTTACCAAGACCAGTAGTTCTTCTTCCTCTAGTTAATGTCCTTATTCCGTTCAACAAAGCTAAAACTTTTGCACGGAGTTGCTTTGCTCATTTTTGTGTCTAAATTTTGTTTGCATTCAGAGCTGCTATACAACCTGACTGCAGACGCAGATAAGAGGCAGAAGAGCCAGCCTTCTCGCGTCTACTTCTTCCAGAGCGGCTCTCAGGTCTCCCAACTGAGCCAGCAGCTGAGTCTGGACATCAACAGGGAGCAGTGCCAGCGCTACACCGCCTATGTGAAGGTAAGAGTCCTGAGACTACAGCTGCTACTGTGGACTGTGTGTCTGCCCTCATGCGACCCCTTTCCCATGACCTTGAGGCCGCCTACCTCCTCTCTCTGATGTGTGATATGAAGCTATTTGTCGTTTGCTGTTTGTTTGCTTTTTGGTGTGGGCATCAAAATCTATGTTTTTGTAAGCTGAATGTTGACTCCCCTTTTTGTGAAGTTTAAAGGCCAGATCGTTAAGCTGTCCTTATGAACAAGTGATGAAGTGGCAAATGCTGAAATGGTTCTTTTCAGGGACTGACCATAAAATGAAATCTGTTAGAAGAGTTTTTTGTGCCGTGTAGAGTACTGGAAAGCATATTATTTAGCCTTATTTGACTTTTAATCATGGATTTCAAGTGAAGAAAAACAAGGACTGCTATAGCAATTAACAATTCCAAACAACATATCATGATTTGGAATATCAAAAGTCCTGCAAATGGCATCCATAACAGGAAAATGTCATGTGACTGAAACCTATGGATAGTATCTTTTCAACTGGAGAGACTTTTGACACATTCATAAATTTGTTGTGAATAATTCTTTCCTGAGAAATTGTATTGTGGCAAAGGTTTCACATACATCATTGGGGACACCACTCGGGTCAAAGGCAGCAGTACTTGATGGCTTATGAACCCCCTTTTGAAATTAAAGTGTTAATTTCCACTTCTAAATGAACAGCAAATGATGGAGACAGGAAACAGAGTGGGCTTTGTCCCGGTATAGTCGCTCTTTTGTGTTTCCCGGAGCGGCTGCTGTCCTGAGGGGAGACAGCCCTTCCTTCACCTCCTTAATATGAGGGCCCACTGTTGCTCTGTAAATTTCACTGGCTGCTTAAATGTGCACTCCAGGCGCTTTCTCTGTGGGAGGCTCAGCTGCTGATGGGGGGGCTACTCCCGCGCCGGACTCTCTTCTCCCATCCTGAGATCGGGTTTAGTCCTGGTTTATAATTGGTCTAGTTTGGGTTTTAGGTTGATTCACTCTTAAATGTGTGCTTTAGGCAATTTTGCAAGCCAAGGATAAGCTGGTGATGACAGGGGCTTTCATGTGCCTGATGGTTCTCTTTCTCATCTTATTTATAGGTTTCAGAGTGATAAAATGTAAGCACCTTTGTTCACAGTTCAAAATAATACTGTATCTCTTCAATGGTCATAAGCCTTCAAAATGGCATCTATAAACAGGAAGCAACCTGCGAATAACATGGTTTAGACTGCGTTTAGACTTTTGTTTTTACTTCTGGACCTGGATTAGTCCTTGTTTAGTCCTCTTTAACCCTGGTTTAGACTTGGTTTGACCTTGTTAAGTCCTGTATATAGTTGGTTTAAACCTGGTTTGGTTCTGGTGTATACCTGGTATGCTTAGAGAGCACTCCAGACATTTTCACCATGGGAGTCTAAGCTGCAGACACTCCTCTCTCATCCAAGGACACTATAATAAGCTCACATTGTAAGGCTAAACTTCACCATCACTATGCACCAGCGAACCCAGTGTGTGTTTTATTTAAACCACAAGTCACAGAGGGACCCACCATTCAAGGTTTACTTTGTGGCCAGTTTACTTTGAGATTGGGTCACGTAAGGTCAAGTTTCTACCCGATATACATTTATGAGACCCCTGTGATCAGTTTACAGGGGAATGAAGAGGCATTGTGATATATTAATTGGGCATCTCAGTATATACAGGTGCAAGGTAGCAGAGTGACAGAGAATTCTGTCTTAACAGGTTAGGTTTGCTAAAATAATATAATAATACTGTGTTCAGTCTAATATAACATTCAAGTAATTCAAGTTATTCAAAATTGTCCATTTAAGTATATGGGATGGACTTTAGCAAGCTTATGAAAAATGGCACATACAAGTTACAGTAAAGAGTTGTCAGTAAAATAAGCATTTGTCTTTTGTACCTCATATATTATGGACACAAACTTTTTTTGTCCTCTTCTGTTTATATTTATTAGTTACAATGTGCTACTGCTACTTGACTTGCATTAGACTGTGAATTCTTCCTTATATTCACTGTGAAAAACAAAAAGATGATATATCTTAGGGTGCATATAGGGAATATAAGCAGGTAGGTCTTTTATTTTTTTTCTTTTAACTCTGTCCACAAAAGCATATTTTAGTTTTTGGCTATGTTTACTCTATAGTATGGGTCATGTGAGTTCAAGCCTCTCCCCAGCTCTCAATATAAATCCATTTAACATTTCAACACTTTGAACTAATCTTGCTAAACACTCCTGTGGGTGGCCAAGTGAATAATATCTCAGTAGTGACTTCCTGCTTCCTCACACTGTATCTGTGGCATCTTTGGCGGAGACACAAACACTCTTGACTCTTAGTGATGTCGCCAGTGTCATTTATTATGCTGCACATGTTACTTCAAAGATGAGCTCCCATTTATAGATCCATTAGGTCAGGACATGATTTATGTTTGTGTGTGGTTCTGTAGTGCAGTTTGGCCCACAGTTTAAAGACCAATGTGGATCCTATTAGAGATGTAAGGTGTGACAGTGCTGCACAGCTGGTGGAAAGACTTTCACTGTTCAAGAACAGTTCAATGTAAATATTTATTATTTAACTCCTTGGTAGACTTTTTTACCTGTTCAGTCTTAAAAGTTTTATCTGTTTGTGATTTTAAAATGGCAGCTGATTTTGAGTTGTTATTGTCAAGCTTGGAGGTAGAGGTTCAGTTAGTGTAGTTTCTGTCTTCCTATGTTGACGTGAAGTGTATTAGAATAATGTTTGACTGTATTAAACAGTAAATGTTTTCCAGTGGCTGAAGCATAACAAATACTGTCCGTTACATTCATACCACTAGCATTCTAGCATAGTTCCTGGCACAATATATGACAGTTTGCTATGGGCATAGTCTATATGAATGTGGGTAATACAAGAATGTGATATATTGAATGTATACTGGGAATAAATCCAGGAATTTCTGTATTCTGTAACAATGATATGAAGCTTTTAGTTCAACTAAATACTGTATTAGAGTTTCTTTTATCTGCAGTCCCCCTCAGGCCAAACTGTTGAAATGAATGAATATTTGTATTATTTTGTCTGGTCTGGCTTTGAACGACATTGTGGTTGTGTAGCAGACATAAGCAGAGGTGAGATTACAACCAAACCCCAAAAGCCACACATGAAGGGGAGGGCTTAAACACAGCTTTACCAGACTGTTTACAGGCAAATATAGTCTTTAAACTGGATGAGCAGACAAAAAGTGAAGGTCCTGTCCCTCTTTGATGACACGCTCCTCGCTCTTCACTCTTAAATGATTTGTCTTCTTCTTGTCCTAAACTTAAAAGAATCACCATAATCAGAGGTGATCCTAGTTCAGCGCGAGGGCTGAACCTGCCTGGCCAGATCGTGTCATTTATCTTGCTCAAGTGTCTGCCCACATGAGTTAGTTGTCCCGTTCCTTGAAGAGGTATGCTAATAGAAACCAGCTGAATTGTCCTGGCTGCATCCTCTGGTGGGACAGGGGGCACTGCCTTACCCTCCTGCAGTTAAACCCAGAGGGGAGTCCCAGCAGGGCGCGGGACTGTGCGTAAAACTGAGGCACATGTTGGCTCAACCTATGGAAAAGCCACGTTAAAGGAAGGATTGCACAAGTCTTGACATTTCAGAACGATACTCATGTGGCCATGTGGAGTTTGTTTGTTGACTTTGTGAATTTAACACCTGTAAAAACTGGGGGAAACTCTGAATATAAAAGCCAAGCAATTGACTTTTGGATCACCTCTGATGTGGATAGTATCATTACAGATCATTTGAATGGTATCCAAAATGTATTAGAGAGATAGCAACCTAGTATGAAAGACATGATCCCGTAAAACAAATGTTTTATTTAAATGTAACATTAAAATGGAGCTGGACAAAATGACAAAACTAATCACAATTAATCACTTTTTTTTTTCTTTTTTTCTTTCATATAGACCAACCAGAATTATGGAATGCATTTTGTTTTGTTTTGTTTAAAAGAAATAAAAATAGCTTTCAGTATTAAGTCAAATTTCTTCTTCCAAAGTCTGAACCCTGCTTCAAGACACATGCTTTTACTGACAGAAGATTGGTGCTGGACCTCTCGATTAAAAGATCCAAGCTTATCATTCACAATCATAACTGCCTAAATCTAGACTTAAATTCTGTTAATTGCCTCATATTAAAATTGTTTAACTGACATGAAACAAAAATAAATCAAAAAATAAAAACCTTCACATTTAAACTACACATTTGCAGTAACATTTGGTTCTTGAAAACAGCAGAGCAAAAATGAATGACTGAACCTTGTAAACTGAATCTATAACCTCATGTAATAATACTATCACAGCACAGAAATACCACCATACTAAATTTAACCATCTAATCAAACTCAACTCAAGCCTGGCCTCTCAGACATCATGTGCTGTGCCATAACTCAGAACACACACAGCATAGGAGCTAATAGTTGAAAACACAGCATTTTCCAGCTCAGTAATTCCTGCTAAAATTATGCAAGTCTTTTATGTTGATCACTTTAAACATGTTTTCATTGGCATCAGCTCACCACATACCAGAGAACCAGATGTTCTTTGTTTGGTTATTTTTAGTTAAATAAGCTGTAGGCTGGCCTTAACTACAGTTGTACCTCACAGTCGGGAAGGTGAATTCTGGCAGAGATGATTGATGCATAATTGCAGAGGAAGGGGCTGTGTGTAACATGAAAATAGAGATTTGAGTTGAGAGATTCTTCATTTGGTTGTGTTTTACTGAGGAATTTGGTGCTGCAGGGTTTAGCAAAGAGCTGATGGACAGAAACAGCTGAACTTAGAATTATGTGGTGAGGAATATATCAATAAATTGGATGTGCTTCTAGTGTAAAGTGAGGGCAGAATTCGTACCAGGATGAGATTCAAGGGGCACTTGAGGTCAATAGATCATTTAAACTTGCTAATCCAGCCATACAACCTAGTACACAGTGCCTACCCCAAACACA